GTTATACATTTGTGTATTGAGAAGACCATTTACTATTTCTTGAAGCTCGATCTCTCCCCCGGATGAACCATATAGCCAAGAGAAACCATGAACCAAAATAGAAGAACTTGCCCCACCCATGAGTAAATATTTCGTAGTAGCCTCATTAGGCCGTACATCTTTCTTGGTATATCCACATAATAGGTAGGAGCTGAAACATTACGGAGCTACAAAGATAGTTATTAAATCATTAGCACCGCATAAAAACATTTCTCCCTAAAATAGAATAGAAGTAGAAGGTTGTACTTAGAAAAAGTAGGTCTTAACAATGTGGCTTTAAGATCAACAATGCGAGGTACAAGTTTTTCGTAGATTTCATGCTAATTAAGCTTCAAGCGCGTGCCAGAAGTTTATGTAATTTTAGAATATCAGAGTACCTCCTCGATACAATAGTTGTGATTAATATTTTTCGTTAATTGTTATACAATGCATTCATATTCTTCCAAATAAATACTTGAAAAACAACGCTGATTGAATGAATTAGAATATCCTTTCCTTGAAGATTTTATATGTTAAGCTTGGATTAGAAAAATCATGACTGGTGGGTGTTGTATTCTACCCTTATAAATAGCTTTACCCATGTTAGTTTGAAGTTTTCCAAATGGTCTTGCCATTCTCCAAATCATAAATTGAAACAAAGGTTGGGTGAACTTATTTTTTGTTTAAGTCCATTTACGTGGCTACTTTATTACATTGGTGTGCAGCACTAATTTTGCATCATTCTTCTTGTCGTGAGATTGACAGAGAGTGCATAATTTTTCTTGTTGTTTTTCTTCTTGCTCGGAGTACACAGCAGCAGCAGAAGAAGGTGGAAAAATAAAGAAAAGTGTATTTTTGTCATATCTTCTTTGTGGGTTGTTCTGCTTAGAGTTTGGGTTTGTTTTCCCTTTATCTTCCATTTGTATTTGTATTGTTCTTGGATATTGAAGCTAATAGAAGTTTTGTTCTCACCTTGCACATTGAATGTAAACCAAATTGGTCAAATCACTAAAAATTTTGGTGTCGTCTTCTCTTCCTTTCTTTGCTTGATTTAGTATTAATATTATTGCTTGGTAGATTTATGAGATTCTAATTAATATGTTGGACAAAAAAAACCGTGGTTATTAGTGTATTTTACACAATCTCAATGAGTCTTTCCACTCATGTCTCCCCTCCTTTCTCCTATTTAGTGGCAGAGATAAGGAAAGATAACAAACAATATATCAAAATCTTTCATTTAGTGGTCTTTTTCATGACATTCGCACTACATTTAAAAACCTTGGCATTAAAGCAATCAAAATTAGTGGTGTCTGCCCAATCTAATAGATGAAATGAAAGATGAAAATATTTTACATTCCTTTGTGGGCCCATGAAAGTATAAGGGTATGTCACAAGTCTTCTGTTCCTTTCTTTTGGACTATGTAGGAAATGGAAGAGAGGCCACAGAAATGTTTTGCTTGATTCTTTTGACTACTTGAATCCTAATAATTTCATCCCTTTCTTATTGTTCTCTTTCAACTATTTGGTATGAAAGAAACAAAAGAAGCATTTGTGTTCATAATAATACACGCAAGTGCATACGCATCGGGTGATTTTTATATTTCATAGGTAACTTGAATCTCCTTTTTCCTCTAATGTTGAAAAAAAAACTTCTTGGATTAAGAATTTTTGAAGATAGTGCGGATATGCAGCTTGAGAGTAATGGGAATGGGAATGAGTTATCTTTTGGTATCACTATTTGAAATGAGCAACGAGTGGATCCAACTATTGTGATTAAACTATTTAAAACTTAAAAGATTCCATTAAAAACGAGCTTACACTAGCTATCGAGTAAAATGATTTTATCTTGTTAATGCTTCATTTCTTTTTGAAATGAGGGTTTTCTAAATTTTATGGCTAAAAGAGTCCATTTCTAGGTTTATTGGTCCATTCCTTTTTTTGTGTTTAGAGTTTTCATGTATAACTCTTCCTCTAAATATCATTGGTCAGTCACTTAATAATAGATAGTATAAATGTTTTAAAATTTAGGTAATAAACCAATCACCTTTAAATTAGAAACAATTTTATATTTAAATAAATTATCTAACTTAAAACAAGGCTACCTTTTAATTGGAAACTAAATAAAAGGAAAAAAAAAGTGAAGAAGTTTGGTAGCATAGGGTAGGCAAGGAGAAAAAATAATTAGGAGAGGATCCATTTTTGAAATATTTAGAGAAAATTTCATTTGATCCAACGAGCTATCTAAAATTAAAAACCTCAATTTTATTGTACTCATTTCTAAATTTGAGTAAAATTTAAAAGTAATATCATCTTTAATAAATTGAAGGCTAAATACCTTTTTTGTCCCTGAGGTTTGAGGTGAGTGTCTACTTGGTTTTTAAAGTTTTAAAATGAACACTTTTTTTGTCCCTGAAGTTTGAGGTAGGTGTCTACTTGGTTCCTGAAGTTTCAAAATGAACAAGTTTGGTCCGAGGTTTAAAATAAGTATCAACTTGGTCCCTGAAGTTTTAAAATGAACATTTTTGGTATCTGAAATTTGAGAAATAGTTCTAAATGGTCCCTAATTTGTTTTTTTTTTACCATTAATTAATTAATATTAAAATGACGTGGCAAATTGCAATTAAATTATTTATGGTAATTGCTGATATGACAAATTATATTAATTAAATAGTTTATGTGTAAGTGATGATACTTTCTCTCTCCTCTCCTCATCTCTTCCTCTCTCTTTCTTCCACCCTTTTTCGGCAACCACCACGTTTTTGTCGCCGCCGTCCGCGATTCATACCAGACATATATCATTTAATTAATATCAAGAACTACAATAAACAATTTAATTACAATTTGCCACGTCATTTTAATATTAGTTAATTAATAGTAAAAAAAAAGTGACAATTTAGAACTATTTCTCAAACTACAGGGACCTAAAGTGTTCATTTTAAAACTTCAGGGA